TATATATATGTATATATATATATATATATATGTACGGATATGTATATGTACACGTTACATTCCTCGTCTGTTGTCTTTTCATTGATTGTTGTTCAATCCAGCGAAGAGCCGGTTTTCCTCTGCTACAGCATCCTGCTCATCACAAACGTTCTTCAACCTTACCACTCGATTGGTGAGTTCGGCTACCTGATCGCGTTGTTACCTGTATGGGGATTCTTGCAAACACGTGAGTTGCGTTTCTGATATGGCCATTCTGATGTCAATCGCTTGTCATCATCATCGGCAATGTAGCTTCATAGTTTAACTCCGATAGTCCCAAGTCTTTAGGTGCCTAGATTAGTTGCTTCTGTCCTGGAGAAGCGGACTGCTCCAGACAACTGGTGTGAGTCGATCATAGTGCCTATCTTCAAAAGAGCTACAGTACTGACCGTCTGTCGTATGGATATAAGGCATGGCCTCTGCGGGAAGAGGCTTTCTCAGGTTTTCGGTCAACGATGTCTCAAAAGCGTTGCTGGTGTCGAATGGCATCGCAAACCGGCAGTAGTTGTCACTGAAAACATCTAACGTCATCGGCTACGGTGGCTAGGCTATGTGATACGCGTTGTCGACCGTTTTCCGTACCCGTTTCAGGTTGGTGAAGACGGCCAGGTGAACAACAGGTGACTTAGAAGAAAGGTGTGAAAGAGATAACAAGGAGCTTGACTACTGATGATATGCGCATCTGCTCTGCACAGTAGCTCCAGGAAGGAGCTTTCTCCGGTTAGATAAGATAATGAGAGATGGTCGTTCAGCTGTAACACCCTTTCGGTGACTAGCTGCCGTGCCACCCGAAGGAAGCACGAGGGCTGAGATACTGCCAGGTTGCCCAAGCCTAGACAGGGGAGGTTGAGAGGCAGAGGTCGGGTTCGAACCACGGACCTTCCGGTCAGTAAATTCGCGCTCTAACCACTGAGGCTCTTGCTAGGTCAACTCCCCATTATGGGTATATGCAACTTGACTCTGATCATGCCAGTGTGCGAGCCTGGTTATCACATCGCTTTCAGTCAGCATTACGCGTGCCAAAGCAGAGTAGTTCCATTCCTCAGTGTCGATGAGTTTGAGTAGCGCAGCATGCGCAGGATGTACGAGGACTCGTCTCCGATGCGCTAACCGGATCCGGTAGGAACATGGGATCTGCAGTGCCGAGGTACGCTGGCTTGTGTGGGGAAAAAGCAACTCTCCCGCAATTGATGAACTGTTCAGGTGTACACTTAGCATACCTTGTACTCATTGTAAGCGGTTTAGGGGTGGACAGTCTATGGGCTGGCAGTGTCGGGCCGACAACTGTTGCCACATCGGATGGGGACCCCGGACACCTCAACAGTGCTGTACACTTGCGGATCAAGTTAGTCTTGTTCAGTTTTTGTTCATTCACAACGGACGAACTTTTCAGTCGAATACGGAATTTTTTTCAGTAAACGAACAAACTGCGATTATGCACACTGTCTCGCGATTTCGAGTTTTGAGTTCTCCAAACCCAATCAGACCATATTGTATCGCACCGTACTCATTTCCTCTTTTTTCTCCACAGAATGTCGCCTCTACCTACCAACCACGTGTGTTCTCCTAGCCAGTCTGGTGCTGACCCCTCTGTTCCATTACATGTGGCTTCAACCGGGGACGGCCAACGCGAATTTCTACTTTGCCGCCTGTATGGTCTATGCCGTCGGACAAGTGAGTTTTTCTACGATTCGGTCACAATTCCCTTCCACCCACCAAAAAAACCCACTCCAGATTGAACAAAACGGAATCGATTTGGCCCGAAAAGTCTCAAGGTGTTTGGCGATGCAGTCAGTCGATATGGATTGTGAAATGGTTTTCCGGTGGCTCCTCGGCCATCCTAGAATCTGTCTAACCGCCAGCATGACAGTTCCATGGCGTGACGCTTGTACGAACAGAGCTCTAGGTGGCTCAGCGAACCTACTGACCAGAAGGTTCATGGCTCGAACTCAACCTCAGTATCTCCACTACTCCTGTCTAGTTTTGGACAACCTGGCAGTAACTCAGCCCTCGTGCTTTCTTCGAGTGCCGTGCTTGCTAGGCATCGAAAGAGTTTTACGGCTGAACAATCAAAGTAGAAAAGATCATATCCATATTATGTATATTATACATATTATATACATTATATGTTATCATTTACTTTTGAAGAGCATGGTCACAAACATAGAAAGTGAATGCAAGCGATGTATGCGGAAGGGTAACAGGAGAATATGGGAGAAAAGAGAGTAACGTCTGATTCGAAACCATGCCAACAACGGTTCCGGTCAGATGAATGAATCCCAAAGTATGTAAAAAATTTTGGTATGGAAACACGCGCCTAAAGACCAACAACCGAAGAAAGGACAATGTTGAATGCTCCGCAAGGCGCGGTAGTACAGTCAAGACTCGCACATCAGGCACAAAGTGTCTGTTATACTAGCTGGGTCTGGTGTGAGATTAAATGGCGAAAATGTATATTCAACGCTATGGGCCATGCATAAAAGTGTCATAAGTACGCCTGAGAGCCCACAATGGCAAGCAAACACAAGTCACTGACTGCGACCTTAGGAAGTCCCACTCCGCCTTAGCGGATTGAGGAAAGCAGATCCCTCGATAAGAGATGATCATCGGTTGGTGAACCAAAGAGTTGACATCACAACGGATTGCATGTAGGGCTGATATGTATATTATGTTATATAGTGCCACTATTACCGCTACCCATCTTCTCTATTTTTTCCATTTATTCAACCTTACTGGTTTTTCATCCGTCCGCAGATTTTTTTGATAACCGACTTGCTGAATTCTTTCGTCCGACGGGACTACCTCTTGCGAGTTGGATCCAACCTACAGCTGAGCTCTGGTCAGAAGCTGGTTTTGGTGAACTCGTGAGACATCGACCTTTGTGTCTAGCTGTCGCCAAATTCCCTCGTTCGTGTGTACGTGTGTGTGTGCGTCTGTTCGCGCGCACCGTTCCATGTATTTTGTATGGTTTATATACACTATCCCCGCATCCATACTGGCTGTGTTCTCATGTCATACACTAAATACATGTTAGGAATCAATACGTCACGTGTTTTCCTCGCATTCATTTCCTAGTGTCTTCTGTTAGCTTTGTTTTTCTTTGAGACGGGTGAATGGGGTCACACACGGGGCCACACGGAACACCTCCATCCTGTTGGCTTTCAAGGCCGTCGTCGACAGTCAATCGCTCAGAGTCATGGAGTGAACTTTTCTGGTGGCGCATTTCGTTCTGATGAAGCGTCCTGACCACTAATAAACTTATTCGTACAAGATCGTGTTGCCTAATCAGTCCTCGTTTTTGCCTTTCGAGTGTCAAAAAGTAGATTCGTCGACGGTGATGTAACTCCTGTTTTCTGTCTGCCCGTCTGACGTGTGTCTTGGCTAACCGTGACTTCATCATGTGTTCAATTCATCAGTTTTGAGCCCCTGTTCCTCTCCCTTAAAAGGTAGACTTCGTCGTACAGTTTTCCTTCTGTTGAGCAACGAACGAAACACACTCCTTTGCAACAAATTTGGTTTTGCAGTAAACTCACCTGGAACCCGGCTGAATCTCTCATTTGTGATGTATCCACGCAACTGAATGTGCTGCACTAGGCGTCCTCATGTTTCAGTTTGTACGATGTTCGAGATATCGCTATACATCATAAACGGGAGATTCAGCTGGGTTCCAGGTGAGTCTCTCGCAAAACCGAATTTGTTTGCAAGTGAGTGTATTTCGCTAATTTCGTACAATTTGGTTTCAAGCAGAACATAAGTTTGGCGGAAACTCGGGGACTGCGCCTACCTGATGAGTCCCAAAAAGGACGAAACCGGTCGTGGGCTGTCGACGGATTTTCAGCAACCTTATGAGTAGTGTATTACGTCTATGGATGCCATCTACATTTCAGGCATTACTCGCTCTCTACCGAATTTGTCACAACTGCCTGAGTTCTGGTTTTCGTTGCATTCCGTCCCAACATTATTTACACTGGGCGCTTCCTAAACACTGTGTCCGGAACACGCGGGCAGCTTTATTCTTTGACTTATTCTCTGAATTAAACAATACGACGTAGTTATTTTGGCTAGACCATGCTGACCATCGGTACAATTTGAGCTAGTAGAATTATGGAAAATGTAACGTCATACAATCTTCGCTACCGATGGGAGGGTGAGAGATGGCTGAAGTGGTTAGGGCGCGAATTTACTGACCGGAGGGTCTGTGGTTCGAACCCGACTTCTGCCTCTCGACTTCCCCTGTCTAGGCTTGGGCAACTGGGCCCTATCCGAGCCCTCGTGCTTTCTTCGGGTGGCATGGCAGTTAGGCACTGAAAGAGTGCTACAGCTGAACAATTTCTTTCTTTCTTTGCTATCGATGAAGGCCAAGCATTCCAGGCACAGATTTTTCATTGTCGGGTATGATCTTGGCGATTGAAAACTGAGATGTGTTCAGGTATCCCTCCACCGAACGACTTAGGAGGACTAACGACGGATGTTTTTCATCACCTAACGAATGCTTGTTTGAGAAATTTTCCTCTCTAACACATGACGGGGAGATGACTGATAACGGGTTTTATCCGTATTGGGCAACCTTCCTCACGAGGGAAACTCGCAAGCCATCCGTGCGATCCCATGATTTGTCGTCTCTCTCTGTTGTATGTTTTGGCATACTATCACGTGACAGCACGGTGGAAACTTCATGGCTGATAATCGTTCCAGACAATATCCATAAACGTATCATATCTGACAGGCTGACTTCTAGACTGGACTGACCAAGAATATCCAGTTTTCATAAAGGAAACCACTCACAAAGTTGCTGAAAACTCTTTGACAGCCCACGACCGGTTTCGCCCTTCTTGGGGCCGGCTTATCGGGTAGGCGCAGTCCCCGAGTTTCCGTCAACCTTATGTTCTACTTGAACCAGTTTTGGTCTTGTATCAAGGAGTGTAAGTCTGAAGGTGGCCGTGTAAATATCGCTGGACAACTGAAGTCGAATGGAAGAATATGATGCGCTGGTTCGGTGAGCATACAGTGAATAGCGTTCGACTACGATTCAGTTCAATTTATCAGCTATAAGCCGTGTGCCATAGGCATCTTGGTTCCAGCTGCTACAGTTTCGATCACGGAAAAGGGGGCATACAGCCAAGTCTTGATTAGTTCGGAAACTGGGTAGCTACGTACTGAAGCTTGTATACACGAGCGCCATCGACTGCGTGATTGGGCCATTTCTGCCAACTTGAGTAATTTGAGAATGGCATCTTGGTCCAGCTGCTACAGTTTCGATCACGGAAAAGGGGGCATACAGCCAAGTCTTGATTAGTTCGGAAACTGGGTAGCTACGTACTGAAGCTTCTATACACGAGCGTCATCGACTGCGTGATTGGGCCATTTCTGCCAACTTGAGTAATTTGAGAATCGGGGTCCTCATCCATAGAGGCAGCAGTTGCTGACCCGCCTACGGGACGACTTGATTTGTACTTGGAAAACAACATCGTTTTACATCCCATCGGTAATTTTCTTTTCTGGATGGTCACTCATTCCTTTGTTTGCTTCATTCATTCTGCTAGGATTCATAAAGAGTCAGTTCTTTGTTGGAAAGCTGAAAGCAGCACAGTTATTTCCGGGAATTCGTTGCACTCACACCCGGAACCCTCGAGTGTGTAGGCAGTTCCACGTGTTTGTGGCAAGGTGATTCAAAATGTGTAACAGCAGTCAAGTTCTTGATAACACTCTCGACTCGCTTGCCATATGTGCGGAGTTTAGGTCGAGGATATGCACTACTGAGGACCTCAAATAAGAGCGAACCTCGAATCCAATCTTCCTCGTTTTTACTGTGGACTCACAAGCATGATCGCATCCGGACAGGAGAGAGACTGTTCAGATGAGAACGCGTCAATCTCATTCTGACTATTGGTCGCTTTGGCCCACTTCTCGTCTCGTTTTGAACGTTTGATTTACGCTTTGTGCGAAAATTCTAACGGTAACCAAACACTGCTGTTTTAGCTTGACTGTCAAAGTCGCCCGTTGTCCCTACCCCCCGAATGCGCCCCATCCCCGAGGACAGTTGCACGTTCCCATTGTGTCCGACCTTCGTCCGATCGCTTTCGTCCACAACCCCCAATCGATGAGGTCGATCAAGGCACTGCTACGAACCGATCAACATCCGAACTACCAAGACGTCGGTCCTATCCCATATCTCATCCACCATGTGAAGTACCATTTTGTGCGGTGAGTGTTGGTCATGCTTTGGTTTCACTGTTGTGTTTTAGAGCTGTCGTCAACAGGATGAAGAAATGCTCGCCGCGTCGGAGGAGAAATCCCCATCGCCTACAGGTGTACCGCCGCTGGAGGACGAGGATGCGTCCAGGTCATGGATCTTTAAACAACTTCCCGGCCCCTGGTGGTGGTGTGAAGATTGCCAGGCGTCTGTGAGCTCTCCACAAATCACCATACCTCATCTATTTGCTGTTTTGCGGCAGTGGACACCGTACGCGCAGCTGCAGCTGATCACTGTGGTCGAAGAGGTAACTATTATCATTTTCCACCCCGAACATCTACTCGCTTCTGTTGATGCCATGAGTCGGGTGCGGGTTGGATGTCACTGACGATGTCATCTCGATTGTGGTGTTGAAGCGTCCACAATCCAGCTACCAAGCTGGCCGAACAGAGCAACCACAAACCGGTCTTGTGTTTGATTAGACAAACTTGTGCGTGTTCTACCCGACCCATTGTGACCACTTTTTTCTTTGCTGATTGACAAAATGTTACAGGTGTATCATAATTAACGTTCTCTTGTATTTCCTTTCGCTTTCTGATCCAAATTTCATAGGGGGGCGAGATGGCTCAAGTGGTTAGAGCGTGAATTTATTACTGAACGGAAGGTCCGTGGTTCGAACCCGACCTCTGCCTCTCGACTTCCCCTGTCTAGGCTTGGGCAACCTGACAATATTCCAGCCCTCATGCTTCCTTCGGGTAGCATGGCAGCTAGGCACCGAAAGTGTGTTACAGCAGAACGATTTATTTATTTCTACACAACTAACTACGTTATTGGTGACAGACTAACACGGACAAGAAGGTGTTTACCTCATTCAAACATGTTTCTTGACTTCCCTGCGGGCGTTTCTAAGTCTGTGATACTCATCCCATAGAACATTGTGCTCTGTTCAGTTCATTCACTGCAGCCGGAGTTTTTTCATTCCTCCAGAATGCCGCGTGCAGCTAACATACTGACAGCCATTTTGACTGAGTACTATAGCATTAAATCACGTGAATAACTCCATGTTCTGACCTAAGGGTGTAGTCATTAATTTGGGTAACGACTCTAACTCTCTGCGACCATATACCATGAAATCTAGGGTTTATTCCTCTTTATGGACCCTTTGGTCGTGGGTCACGTGTCGTCGTATCGATTCATTCCTTTGATCCATTAGATATTTCGCCGCGGTGCTCATGTGGACGACCGGGATGGCCTAACAGACATGACATTGCTTCATTTCGCAGCCAAGTCAGGGGCGGTTGGCGACGAGGAGTCTGCGTGTCGGTAAGTTCCAAGGTTCTGTTTTTTGAAATTGCTCTCGGACCAGTAAGACACTGGCTGTTGGATCACGTTAGCCAGCGCTTGTAACGAGCACTCGGCACCCGGCTTAGGGTCTCTGTATGAATTACTTCAAGACATGTTTGTGTAGATGAACTCCATGCTCATTTGTTTTCGTTGACTGTTCCTCCCGTGTGCCTGTTCAGTATTGCCGAATTTCTATTGAATGGTGGCGCCAATCTGGAGGCCCGCTGTCGGTGGACAGACATGACTCCACTTCACTATGCAGCCTACTTCGACTGCCCCATGTTGGTCGAACTGTTCATTCAACGTGGTGCCCAGTTGGAAGCCAGATCGTCATTGGCCGACGACGCGACCCCGCTCCATTTGTGTGCTATTCAACTGTCGCTCGGAGCCGCGCGCGTTCTACTTCATGCCTCGGTACAATCCCTTGCCCAATCGGGTGTTAGGTACGCTGGGAAGGATGCCTTAGACGCGCTTGGACGAACGCCTTACGGTACGTGGAGCTTGTATCGCACTAGTCTTTTCATTTCCGTTCCTTGCGCCGATTTCATTAGACGGTTAAAAGAGACATTTTGATCTAAAACTTGTTTTTTTCCCATGGTTTCGGTATGCTGAAGCTGACAGTATGCACTCTTATCAAAATCTCTCCGAAAAAACCCGCGAATTCTCCTCGTTGTCCGACCAAATTAGCTATTGGGTCGCTGGGAACAAAGGCTGTCTCCAAATTACTGAGCTGACGGTGTTCGTCACTCTACCTCGCTACCATTTCAAGAATCTGAACGGTATCTGTTGAATATTGTTTCTTGATATGTTACCCCCAATAGAATAAGCTAGGGCGGTCTCCCCTCAGCTTGCCTTGTCATCATCATCATTGTCAGCTGCAATCAGCAATGTATTTAGCTGGTAATTTTAACCCTTTGTCAAACCACGAAACCACAAATTTCTAGTTCCCATGACACTTCGGCTGCGTGGTTGAGTCAAGAAGATCCCAAATCCGAGTAAAGTCCGGGTTTATTTCACAATCGGTGGTTTTGAATACACCATTACAGACTAGGCACCGAATATTACTCAAGACGATCAATCCTATGATTACGTTGTCCATTCGGGTCATTATAACTCAGTCTTCATCCTCATCATCATTGTCAGCTGTAACAACCGCGTACTTGTCGTACAGTCGTTTAAGCCGTCACAATTGCGCTCACCGATGATTTGGGGAGGTGGGGTAGGTAGCTGCGCATCAGAGGCGGAAGCTGATGAATTCGTGCGTAAATACAACCCTGTCAAGTGGGGGGATTGGGGAGGGAGTTATGCATTGGAGGCAATAGCTTGGATGCACAAGCGCCATTGAAGGCGCGACTGGGCCATGTCTGACAATGTCTCTAACCATCGATGTGGCCCGTCTCGAGGTCCGCATCCAGGAAGACGGCAATGACCTTGTGATGATTTCCCAGTCTGTATGAACAAACCTGTAAGCAGCTAACGTTGTCCCCTTGACCATTATGACTTGCTGGGCTCACTTGCCTCAAACAGCCACATGAAATGAACGGCATACTCGTGGGGGAATTCGTCTCCGCGATTTAGAATTCTCCTCGTAACACTTCTAGTTGTACTTTCTGTGAGGCGACGTCTCTCGGGTTTTAGCATCTCGTCATTTCGAATGTCGCAAACCTTCTAATCTCCCGTCTTTTTTCACGTTCATTTTTTCCCTGGAATGCCCAGATTGTCTACCCCCGGTGACGCAACTCGCTGAACCCCTTTGCTCGTTACGGGATCGCCTGGCAGAGTTACTCGGCTCACCAACAAAGGATCGGCCTGCGGGATTTCCGATTGGGGTGAGCGTTGTTTTTGTTGTAAGAGAAGCCACTTTTGACTGTTAGTTTGAAGCACACTTCATGTGGTGCACGCGTTGTATAGGTGTTGGCCTTGGGTAGTTTCTCAGACCGATTCTCTTGCCTGAGGTACTCCTCGGTATCCCCTCTACTAATGCACGAAGTTTAGCATGCTCTCTATCCACCCTGGACAAGGTGTCAGGACATTGGCAGATCGGGTTCGTTCATTGGCTGTTGATCACGTGGTTTGTGAATCAACTTGCAAACGACCCGTCGTAGACCGAGGAGACATCGTGATTGCCTGCTTGGTGAATCCTTTCACCTTTCGGTGTTGCGCTTACATAGGCGTTAACGTGACTGCTTTCTCGCACTTTCATTGGTCCACTTATGATTTGTGTTGCACCATGGTCTATCTTGCACTTGAGTGGTTAGTGCGACACCTTCTGTGTCTAATGGTTCCAACCCTTGAGGCATCTCGAACAGTTTACCGGAAATCTCAGAACAAGAACAAGCGAGGGACTGTTTTTTGTCGTGAGTTTGAACGGTAAACAAAGGTTGCCGGCTTCTTGTCGTGACCGGAACTTTGAACAATATAGGACGAGCAGCCTTAGTCATACTTCTATCCCCATTGGTGCAACCAGTCCGCCAAGTTTGATTCAGATTCTGTTTACGGGAAGTGAATGTTCTTGTTGACCTAACCATCTCAGAGGTTTCTCTTAGGGCTGTGTATTTGCAATGATCGTTTTGGGCTTGGTTCAAAATCACTGGTCATCCATATGATCAATGCATAGCGGCTGACTTTTGTACTCAAAGAGCGCTGGCACATGTTCCTGGAGCTTTGAATGAGTGAGTTCCAGATAGCTTAGTGCTTAAGGCGCGAACTTACCGACTGGATAGTTCTTTGTTCGAACGGAACCGCGTTTTCTCGGTTGCTCCTCTCTAGGCTTGGGCAATCTGAGGGTGCTTCTTTCGGGTGAGAATTGCAGTGTGTTACAGCCGTCCCTAATAACCGAGCATCACATCAATTAGACGAATGTGTCCCATGCGGGCGACAGACCAAACGAAGGCGTGCCCTGATTGGTCAAAATGCCAGCCAATCCGGATCGAGCATCTTTAGCTCGACGCTTCTCGCCCCCTCACGGGGATCCCAGCACGAACTTGTGGGACCCTTGTGATTACCCTATAAGTACGGTTGTATTAATCTCCACACGGGACTGTCTGCCTTTTGATATACTTTAGTTGGCGGCGCAAGAAGCCAAGGACTGATACAGGGTTGTACGACGTTCAGCAAATCACAACAATAGCTGAACGAATATTTTTGTCTGTCAGGTTCAACCGAGGTTTCATCTTGGAAGTGAAAAGCTGAAAAGCACCACAAGACTGTCTTATTCTTGTTAGGGGGAATCGATGCGACGAATATTGTGGCCGCTTTGAAAATCCGCACACTCATTCCTCCGAATAGGAGTTGGTTAATCACCAGCGACACCAAATTTTACTGATACAGGAGATAACACCGCTTTCTCCCAACCACGCTGTTGTGGTCACCTGATATGGGGCTGACGGGCTCATCAAGTAGCCTTACCAGTCTAAAACTGGGACCCGGATATCTTAAAGGGTATATTGCTGGGGATTATGTGGACCCTGCATTTCGTCGTGAAACGAACAGCCTACTGTTAGTTCCGAGGTCATCTCGCTCAGTTGGCCTTTCTACGTCTCGATCAATAAAAACTTGCACACTGCGCTCTTCATCCTTTACCTTTCGTTCTTGCTTAGCTGCGCTTAGATTGCTCGCGAAGAGGTTGCGTACCAATCCCGGGAACCCATTCAAACCAGGAGCGAGCTATCGTCTGACGGCTGCGTTGTTGTTGAACGTTGAATCTCCTCTGGTGCCATTCGTTTTGTGGCTACTCAGTCATTCTTCTAAGATGTTTGGCCTTCCATTGATCAGAAGTTCCCAAATACATCCGAGAATGCAGTTTCCGGAGCGCGACGGCTTATCTATCCGGCTTGAATAGCCCATAGATCGATCGATCGGTCCCTGACTGCCATGCCACCAGAAGGAAGCGCGATGGATGGGATACTGCTAGGTTGCTCAGGTCTAGACGGGGGAAGTCGAGCGGCGGAAGTCGGGTTCGAACCATGGACCTACTGATCAGTAAATTTGCACTCTTAACCACTGAGTCATCTCTCCCTACCAATATTAGCCGGCATAGGACTCCGCAATCCTGTTCAGAAGTAGACTGGCTATGTATACAAACCTTGTTGTTTATCTGAACTGGAACGCATTCCGTCTGTATGCTATCGAATTCGACCATTGTGTGGCGTTGACTGACGTGACAAGAACGACCAGAAATGTGGAAGACTTTTGGTTTGTTAGAACCAGAGAAATCTCGTACATTTACTGATATCAAGTTCAACAGGGATGGGATCATCGGGGAAAGTTTGGAAACTGATGACCTAGGAGACTCCATCACAGCAGCCAGACTTCCAGATCTACCCGGAGATCGGAGAACGTCATGTTGATGTAGTCATTGTGGCTACGTTTGGATCTTCATAGTTTTGGATTCGCTCCTTGCTGCGAGGCGGGAAGGTTAGTTAGGGGAAATTACGAAAAAGTACACAAGCGACTGGATTCCAAGATTCGACCGATATGTTGTTGTATGTTCCTCGTGCTTTTGTGCACAATCAGCACGTTGTCTGACCTTCAATTAAACGGTCACACAAAGTGTACAATCAAAGGGCAACTCCAATCCTCGGACGAACGTCCATCCCGCTTCACGCACACGGCGATCATCTTAGACTTGGAATTCACATTCAAGGACTTGTCTATTGTCGGACCACTTATACTTTCGTCATCCGTGCGATATCTGCGTCTGGCCCACCATACTTTCGAAGCAAATTCTACGGTCTAGTTACCGTGAAACCAACGTTCGTGCGTTCGTTAAACTTAGCACCGCGTTAACTGGAACGGATGAACCACCACGATCGCCACGGGCAATCGCTTTGCTACCGCTTAACTGCTGTTGTCAGTGTTCGGAGGACTATTTGGGCTCGACCGATTCCATCCTGGAACTTCTCAAACGATTGGTGATTTCGGTCTTTGGTACCTTGGAGACATTCTTTTGATTGCTATCGACATTGTCGGACCTACCGACTGTTCCACCCTGCTGACACCGATCCTCCTGTTACACTACTATCACGTTCATCTCTGACTGTGCATGTTGGTTGAATGAACTTAGCAGTGAAAGCCTTCTTCCTTTCATTTGGGCCACACCTTCCAGTCAAACCGAGACGACGATAGTAACCAAGGTCGGCCCTAGCTGCATATGCGTCATGCACCAATTGGCCCAAAAATGAGGCTGTCTAAATAGGTCCACTTGCGTCACAACGCCACTCAAAACCGTTGGTGTTTCAACATTGCAAGCCTAGATGTTGAAAGCGAACGATTTCAGGTGATTGCTGGTACTGGTAGAGGAGACAGACCCGTAGTTCGAACCCAATCAGGACATCTCGACTGCTCCTGTTTAGGTGTGTCCAACCTGGCAGTATCTCGGCCCTCGTTCTTCCTTGAGGTGGCATGACAGCTAGCTATACCTGAGTGGATTAAGAGATAACTCAGTGGTTAGAGCGAGAACTGGCTGACCGGAAGATCCGTGGTTCGAACCCGACCTCTGCCTCTCCACTTCCCCTGTCTAGGCTTGGGCAACCTGGCAGCAGTCCAGCCCTCGTGCCTCCGGATTACCAGTTTTCCTTCCGACAACACGTGATGCATTCAAGTTAGGTGTTTTGGAGTGTGGATCAACCACAGTCACTGATATCCTTTGTCTGCTCTTTGTCGCAGTAGATGAGGGCGAAATGTCGCAGATTTTTCAGAGTGGAGATTCTGTGCAGTGAGAGGTATGCTCTTTGTCGCAGCAGATGAAGACGAAATGTCGCAAATATTTCAGAGTGGAGATTCTGTGCAGTGAGAGTGCAGTTTCAGAGATATCATCCTCGTTCTTGGGTTAACAATTCCTACAGTCAACCTCTTCGATCCGTATTGCCGTAGTATCAGGATCCAAACTACTACCGCGTCAACTTATTGATCAAATCAACAGACCCGATCGATGTTTTGGGTTTTGTGTGGTAGGGTTGCTCGTAACATAACGCCATCAGTTTACTCGCCATTACGGTCCACCAAAACACTAACTCAATCAAACTAAAATGCGGCATCGTGAGGGAATAGTTCTGTGCTGCAGTGCTTGCTGAACAACATGTGTTATCGACGCAGAAATGTACCACAAGCTTGCTTCTAACTAAGAAACGACCTAATGTCCAAACATGTGCAACAACACCCTTTCGGTGCCTGGCTGCCATGCTACTCGAAGGAAGCATGTGTGCTGAGATACTGCTAAGTCGAGAGGGGTTGGGTTTGACTTACCGACTTTCCCGTCAGTAACTTTGCGCCTTTACTGCTTAGATATCTCGGCGCTTTACGGTGCCCGATTGACATCCCCACTTACCTGTTATCCAATTCAGAACCATGCCGACTTTCTGTCTGACGGCAGAAGCATGCCAGTTGAGAATGGGACTGATGTTTCCACAAAGCCTCCATATCAACCCGTTGCTACAGCACCGTCGACGGAAAACGCGGCTTCCTCCAGGCAGCCGACGCCACAACCCGACGGACTCAGCTGGTTGGTGGGTAAGTATCCGCGTGTATTTTGCACAAGACTTTCCCTAGTCTGCGTAACTTTGTCAAACTTTTTTCCCGCCTGTGCTCATTAGTCTCACTTGGAATGGGCACTTCATTGCATCATATTTGCCCCGCTGTTTAACCCGAAGACGACGAATTCACCCGGTAACGTCTCGGGCTTGAATGTGATGGAGAACTTTTGAGGTTTATTGGTGGGCTTATCTTGCATGCTGTACACGATTAGCGGTCTACTGAGCAACGGGAGAAGTTGTTCAAAAGCTTGCCGGAGAAATACACGCATCTACACACCAATATGGTTCTCATCAACCTTTTGAAAACTAAAGACCACAGTGTACGAGAAACCAATCGACACTGCGGCAATTTTAAACTACTCGTCTGCCCATCCGAAGGCGGTGTTTGCCAGTATTGCATCATCAATGTTTAGGCGTGTAAGGGCCCTGTGCACAGAAGAAGCTGATCGAGGTGAAGAACAAACTTCGGGGTAGTGGATATCCAGCCAGCTTGATTAGGCGTCAGTTGCGAGGGTTGTTGGTACCAGTAGCGAAACCCAACAGGGAATGGATCGGGACAGCTGTTATTCCATCTAAACCAGGGACATCGGAGGTAATTCGGCTAACACAAGAGTACCTTCATGGGAGGAACACTCTGCGCTCTGCATTGGTGCAATTGAAGGATCGCCTCCCGGCAAACAGAACGAGGGACTGTGTCTACAAAATTAAGTGTAATGACTGCACCAAGGTCTACATAGGACAGACGGCCAAGGAACTGCACATCAGAGTCGTAGAAAAATGAACAGGCCGCCGAGAAACGCAGATGAATATCAAGCGTTACTGAAAGACTCGGCGATTGCGGAACACGCACTCGACACGGGACACAAAATAGATTTAGAAAACGTTGAGGTTTTGAGGCGAGGACTACGGTCCACGCCTGACTCCTCTTATTTGTCTAACTCATCAGCGTAATCATTCTCCACTTCGCTCAGCACCTATCCTCTTTAGTCTGTTCATTAGCATTCTGCTTTCCACTTCGCGATCAATTTCAGCTGAGAGTGGTTACTTGTCTCCTCGTAATCGACGTTCTACTGCATCGAACCCCGATTCGATATCGCCACCGTCAACACGACCTGCAACCGCACCAGCTTCCCGCCAACCTGCTGTGATCAATCACCCTCTACCTGCGACATCCTCCGTCTCTGCGAAAGTTACCTTACAGGCTCTTGGTCTCTCATTGGATGATCGTGTGTGCATCGGCCCGGGCAGCTCGGCCAGCTTAAACGGCTCCGTAGACCGTGTGAGTGTGAATGGTCGAATCGGTCGACTACGCTACTGCGGGCCCGTGGGTTTCGCCTCAGGTGTATGGGTCGGTGTTGAACTTGACCAGCCTCTTGGTCGAAACAATGGGACCGTATCTGGCGTAAGTGTCAGTGTGTCAAATAGCCGGTTCTCCGTTTTACTTGCTTGTGTCGTTTCGGCATATGCTCACTATCGACTGTCCATCTGGTTCCCGTAGTCACGTGATTGGACTTCAAGTAGACTGCGTTGTTTTACCATTCCTAGTCTGTTTGGCGGGTCAATCGATCATTCCGCTGATCCACGATGGTCCTTAAACATGCAATGCAATCTTTACGAATCTTTATGAACCAATCTTTACGCATTTCAAGACACGAGAAAACAGGAAGTGAACATATGCCCCCAGAAACGGAAAAAAAGTTCGCAAGATACCGAGAAATGTCCTTTAGAATGATGGAGGATTTACAAGCATCTAATCTAAAGTGGATGAGTAGGATGAGTAGTATAGTGGTTTCAACAAAGGACGAAACTTCGGTTGAAAACGACCGAATCTCCTCATACTACTATCAAACACTCAGTAGCTCAGAGGGATGTTCCTTCGAAGGAGTCGTTACTCGTGGTGCCACTCAGTGTATGACCACGTGATGTGGTTTCTGTGATTGAAGGATGGGTGGTGCTATATCCTGCCTTAGTGCGAGTTAATCACACTGCTGTTCAGCCGATTTTGGCCACTGATGATGATTCCCAAGGGGGATGAAACATCTGTGCAGTACTTCTTTCTATCGGCTTGCCTCGCAGAGCTCTTTTCGCCCAGCTCTGTGCCGAATGGTAGCGAGTTAGTTGTGAACAGTGTATGACCTGGCAGTGAAGTAGGTAAACACTAACTAGTTAATTCGGCCGTAATTTTTTACTAAAGTTGCCTCGAACTTCTAGTTGGAAAGGTGTCCATGACTCGTTCAATCACCAATAGATGGCAGCGGTGCTAAACCCGCTCAAAATCCAATGTCTTGATTCCGAGACCTAATGCCACTTTAAAGAATGTGTTGAACCCTCAGGACTGGCACCACTCTGCTCAAGCCGGGTTTCATCGATTCGGCGACTGACATGAATTTGTGAAACTATGAGGATGCTGGTCTGGGTAGGACTTGGCGTGGCAAAACCTCGAGTAGCTGTCAGTGGGATCATCACCATCGTCGACGGCATGACAGTGTTCAACACGGATACTTCGCTGCCGTACAACCATGATTTATTTGAAAAAACTCATTGTGAAGAAAAGAATAAAGCTGGACAGGGAAGGACCTTAGCGCTAGGTTACTGCAGTTATTCCGAGGTGCCTACACCTCCAGACATTCACTCAGGCAATCTGGATAGAAACTGACAACAAGGTCGCCACTGACATCGGTTGGCAGCCATATCTTGTAGTGTCTCCAACCAGGTGCAGTGGAGATCACGCACTCTTCATCCTGGAAGGTGGCTAGCACTGACAGCACCCCTCTGCCAGGTCAAGGATTGGCCCGTCAGTCAGTGGGATGACAGCCGGAAGATCACGCAGTCTTCATCCTGGAAGGTGGCAAGCACTGACAGCACCCCTCTGCCAGTCAAGGGTTGGCCCGTCAGTCAGTGGGATGACAGCCGATAGTTGTGGCTGACTGGTACAACCCTCCTGTAAACACGTAACAAACGTGATGGGCCAAAGTTCTGCTGTTTCTAAGTCTCTCGTTACCGGCCGTTTTTTCCTTTCAGGTTCAGTACTTCAGCTGCGCACCCAACTACGGCATTTTCGCGCCCATTGGCCGTGTTTACAAGGCAGTGAGTGATGGCGGCGCGACACAAAAGTGGCGACCCATTCAGGGCAAGTTACCATCCTCTGCCAAAAGCCCATCAACCCGGTCTTCCACACAGAAACAACAGGTTGGGGCAACCAGCGACGAAGATGCAGCAAGCAGCACCGACACCAGTGGAGGCGAAGGGAAACATCGTCGACTACCCGTTTCTCGTTCTAGCTATTCGCTTTCAGGCTCGATCGATCAGGAGTCCTCTAAAATCAACCCACCTGTCAACCAGCCAATCGATGTGTCTCATGTTACTGCCAAAGTGGATACGGGTATGTGACCCCATTAGCTGTTTTGAATGCACAGATAACTGTAGAACAGAGTCGTTGAAAGCTCACCACATTATAAGCAATATTTCTATAGGTTCCTTCGACCACAGACTACTTTCAGACGTGTACAGCGTTCCCGAATAAGTATGACCTTGAATATCAGTGTCAGGTCTCAGGTCACCGCTTGCGTTTCCATCTCCGAACACCTGTCCTCTTTTGTCTACAATCATTTGTCTTTCCAGGGGGCGAGATGGCCCAAGTGGTTAGGGCGCGAAATTACTGACCGGAAGGTCCGTGGTTCGAACCTGACCTTCGTCTCTCGCCTTCCCCTGTCTAGGCTTGGGCAACCTGACAGTATCCCAGCCTTCGTGCCTCCTTCGGGTGGCATGGCCCCGGAAGGGTACTACACCTGAACGCTTTCTTTCTTTCTATCTTTCCAGGTCTTCGCATTCAATCATCAACAGATGGGTCAGGTACCCAACAGTTTCAACTCGGTGATCGCGTCTTGGTGGCTGGTCAACGTCGCGGTGTGATCCGGTATATTGGATCCACCGAGTTCGCTCCGGGCACTTGGTACGGAATAGAACTGGATCAACCTTTGGGGAAAAATAATGGTTCGGTGGCCGGCGTCCGCTACTTTCAGTGCCCAGTTGGACATGGTATCTTCGCCTCGGCGAATCGTATCCAGCGTTTGCCTAATCGGCCTAGCACACCACAAATCAGCAAACCAATTCCATTCAAACCCAACACCTCCATGTCCGGGTCGTGGTATGGCGATCCAGTTACTACACCTAACGCTTTCTTTCTTTCTATCTTTCCAGGTCTTCGCATTCAATCATCAACAGATGGGTCAGGTACCCAACAGTTTCAACTCGGTGATCGCGTCTTGGTGGCTGGTCAACGTCGCGGTGTGATCCGGTATATTGGATCCACCGAGTTCGCTCCGGGCACTTGGTACGGAATAGAACTGGATCAACCTTTGGGGAAAAATAATGGTTCGGTGGCCGGCGTCCGCTACTTTCAGTGCCCAGTTGGACATGGTATCTTCGCCTCGGCGAATCGTATCCAGCGTTTGCCTAATCGGCCTAGCACACCACAAATAAATCAACCAATTCCATTCAAACCCAACACCTCCATGTCCGGGTCGTGGTATGGCGATCCAGTTGGGTCCGATAGGATACGAACCAATCAGCAAACCAATTCCATTCAAACCCAACACCTCCATGTCCGGGTCGTGGTATGGCGATCCAGTTGGGTCCGATAGGATACGAACCCGTACATCCTGGTCCACTACCACTTCGCCCATGATTGGCCGAGCAGTTGTGGGGCGTCCCAGTCTGCCCGCGGAGTTGGTGAATGCCCTAGCCGCGGCAGGTGCGAAGCAGGCGATGGCCGGAAAAGACGAACCCGCGTTTTACATCACCGAAGGAATGCAGGTGTTGTGCAGCGGTGAGATGGGTGAGTCCATTCGTCTTCTGTCGCCTGCTACAACCAGTGTCTCCTCGTCCAATCAACGTGAACCCCCCCCTCCGGTTTCGTTTTAGGTATTGTGCGTTATATTGGCCCGATCACTTTCGCTGACGGAATATGGCTCGGTATAGAGCTGCGAAAGCCACGTGGACGGCATGATGGATCGGTGGCGGGCAAACGATACTTTAACTGTCGTCCGGGACACGGCCTCCTCGTGCGACCGTCTCGCGTGTTCTGTCGCGGTATCAACGCCGTCAATTTGCTCCCGCCTGCATTGGCTGCCATCGAGCGCGAGTTGGCAGAGAAGCGCCAGGCCAACTCATCCAGAGCCTCGCAGTCAGGTAGCACGGACGCGGGATCTCGGTCCTCCTCTTCGACGGTACCCAACGGCGAACCGAATTCTCCTTCATCCTAGTCAACCTTTCATTGTTCTCTCCGCAATTCCTCCTGTCGCTTGCCAGTTTTTTCTTCCGTTCTCTGTGGTTGCTTCGAGTATCTCCATTGCCCAGTTTCGACTCTCAATGCATTTTCGTGATCACCAAAGTGGCCAATCCACTACTCTCATTACGATAGGCTAGTTTCCTCAATCGTGCAATGATAATCTGCCATCTGTGTGCTTCATTTTTCATCTGCCCATCGTGTAATTTTATGGTATTCTTATCATCATATTTTCTCAATGAAAACTGACTTCCTCAACCTAATTTGTCCGGAAAAAAATCGATTTTTGCAGGTGTGCACGCTCTGTACACCTTGAAATCCACATCGGTTGAGTGCGTTTACGAGGTAGGTGTGCTGTGGCACAGAAATTTCCCAGAAAACTCCGTTTCGACGCTATTCTGGGATGACTCGAATTTACTGACTGGAAGGTCTGTGGTTCGAACCCGAGCTCTCGACTTCCCCTGTCTAGGCTTGGACAACCTGGCAGTATCTCAGCCCTCGTGCTTCCTTCGGGTGGTATGGCAGTTAGGCACCGAAAGGGTGTTACAGCTGAGCGATTTTTTCATACTCTAGAATGTATCGTGTATTCGTAATGTGAACTATTTATATGTCCCTGTATAACTTCTACATGCCAACAACTGGGTTTAGTTTTAGGGGGCTCCATAAATCAGACGACTCGTTCTCAGAGAATCTCCGTTAGTCTGTCTTCCTTACCCAAGTTGCCTGAACTAGCATTTGTGCCGCGCGCATTTTGAAGTCCTCTCGTCGTTGGATTGTTCGGGAAAGCATGACTTATCCACCACATTTGTCAGTTTTTAGTATGTGCGGTTCCATGGAACAAAATGGTCTACTGATGATGTTGTTGCCTCAGACAGTTGCTTTCCATCACACATTTTGACTTCATTCGCAGTCATGCCGGTGGTCATTCATGGGGAATTCACGAAGTAAGTGGAATATGTCTGGACCCCGATAAAATTCCGTACTTATGTGTTCTGGATCTGGCTTTGTTCACGTTGTTCGTAGCTGAACTAGCCTCTTTCTCATGCACAGTTGTGTGAACCGTAAAACAAATCATTCAGCTGTAGCACCCTTTCGGTGCCTAGCTGCCATGCCACACGAGGGCTGGGATACTGTCAGACAGGGGAAGTCGAGAGGCAGAGACCAGGTTCGAGCCACGGACCTTCTGGTCGGTAAATTCGTGCTCTAACCACTTGGTCCATCTCACCCCCTCCGTGAACGATACTAAACTTCAAATGATGTTGCTTCCCTTTTTCTGGACCCTGCAGACAGTCCGTGGTCTTGATTACAACGCGCGGGCTATACTATTTACAAATCTTTTCAAGTCCACTGGGCGCGCTGCTATCTGTCTGCTCAGGCACGACCCGTAAGGTGCTTCTCTCCTGTTAATATAGCATTTAAGACGCGAAACCGATTTTTTCACTGTTCCTGTCTGCGCTTGGGCACTCAAGCCGCCGTCGAGTTGCATGAAAGGGTGTCACAGCCGAGCGATTTTTATTTATAGTGCGCCGATGTTGCAACCCACTGTTCGGTCTCCAGGCTCGCTTACAAGGTGATGTATCGCGTATTCGTAATGTGAACTATTTATATGTCCCTGTATAACTTCTACATGCCAACAACTGGGTTTAGTTTTAGGGGGCTCCATAAATCAGACGACTCGTTCTCAGAGAATCTCCGTTAGTCTGTCTTCCTTACCCAAGTTGCCTGAACTAGCATTTGTGCCGCGCGCATTTTGAAGTCCTCTCGTCGTTGGATTGTTCGGGAAAGCATGACTTATCCACCACATTTGTCAGTTTTTAGCATGTGCGGTTCCATAGGACAAAATGGTCTACTGATGATGTTGTTGCCTCAGACAGTTGCTTTCCATCACACATTTTGACTTCATTCGCAGTCATGCCGGTGGTCATTCATGGGGAATTCACGAAGTAAGTGGAATATGTCTGGACCCCGATAAAATTCCGTACTTATGTGTTCTGGATCTGGCTTTGTTCACGTTGTTCGTAGCTGAACTAGCCTCTTTCTCATGCACAGTTGTGTGAACCGTAAAACAAATCATTCAGCTGTAGCACCCTTTCGGTGCCTAGCTGCCATGCCACACGAGGGCTGGGATACTGTCAGACAGGGGAAGTCGAGAGGCAGAGACCAGGTTCGAGCCACGGACCTTCTGGTCGGTAAATTCGTGCTCTAACCACTTGGTCCATCTCACCCCCTCCGTGAACGATACTAAACTTCAAATGATGTTGCTTCCCTTTTTCTGGACCCTGCAGACAGTCCGTGGTCTTGATTACAACGCGCGGGCTATACTATTTACAAATCTTTTCAAGTCCACTGGGCGCGCTGCTATCTGTCTGCTCAGGCACGACCCGTAAGGTGCTTCTCTCCTGTTAATATAGCATTTAAGACGCGAAACCGATTTTTTCACTGTTCCTGTCTGCGCTTGGGCACTCAAGCCGCCGTCGAGTTGCATGAAAGGGTGTCACAGCCGAGCGATTTTTATTTATAGTGCGCCGATGTTGCAACCCACTGTTCGGTCTCCAGGCTCGCTTACAAGGTGATCTAGAAAGTGATCATCACTTGTTTGCCAAGCAACGAGCGTATGTCGATCGATCGTTCTTATCCTGTTTTCGGCGAACGTTCTCGTCTTGCAGCGTAAGGTGCTGTATGGTAAAGGGTGGCTGTTTGCACTGTCGAGTTGTGAAACCCTGTTTGTGCCGAACTACTCTGTCCTACGTGGCTGCTCATCTGAGTCAATGGAATATAAGCGCGATACTGAGATATGCGTCATCGCGAGCTTAGCCTCTTCTGAGGTGCCCAGCTCGCGTTTTGTCTTCTGATATCCTTATCTGATGAGAAATGTGTATGGGGCTGATTTGTACGCCCTAACCAAAGTCGAACTGTCAGTGGAATATAAGCGCGTTGCTGAGATGTCCGTCGTCTCGAGCCTAACCCATTAGGGAGTCCCAAGCTCGCCTTTTGTCTTCCGAGATCCTAATCTGATGAGAAATGTGTATGACGCTCGTGTGTACAACTCGTGTGTCTAACTAAATTTCTGCCTAAACACGGAGCCAGATGCCCGCCTTGACATTGGAACACCGGAAAAGCTGCCAGTTTTTGGGTGTAAAATCGTTTAGCTGTGATACCCTTTCGGTGCCTAGCTGCCATGCCACGCGAAGGAAGCACGAGGGTTGGGATACTGCCAGGTTGCTCAAGCCTAGACAGGGTACGTCGAGAGGCAGAGGTGGGGTTCGAACCACGGACCTTCCGGTCAGTGAATTCGTGCTCTTACCACTGAGAAATCTCGCCCTAAACCGGAGGCGAGGTTGCAAAAACGAGTGTAGACTCATTGTGTTGTGCCTCCATATGGAAATCTTTAGTAAAACGCGAAAGATTTACCCGTACTTGAAGGTGTAACTGCAAATATCGAGGGTTCGTGGATCGTGCGCGACGTGAGCAATGCGGTATCTCATCGATTTTCAATCAAGGCAGCCTGACACAAAGACTCATTCATAGGACGTCGAGGTAGCGAACCGGCGCATACATATCTTCTGTGCCATTCGGCATGTCATTACTGTCATAACAGGTGAAAAAAATACTTTTAGTTAGTGGAGTCTCACGATTGGGATGCCAACTAGAATGAACAACAGTGAATACTTTTGTGTACTGTTGTGCAATGTATTATGGAGATTTGGATGCCTCCTGTGCTCGCAGATCCTAGACATCTCAGTGCGAGCTTACTAATTTTCAGTACTGGATTCTTACCTGCATCTCTGTATCTCGACTGCTCCGGTTTGGCCTTGGGCAACCCAACCGTCGTCCTTCCTCCGGTTGGCGTGGCAGCTAGGCACCGAAACGGTACTTGCTATATTATGTCGAGGCGGGTCGAACAAACTAATCGCTACAGCATCAACACTCTAATTGTTTTCTGTCCGTTTGGTGGGACACGATGCATGATTTCGAAACTATTTTGTCTTTGGCAAGTGGTTAGCGAATGGGCACAGATGAGTTTGGGCATTTCTCACTGTGGTATGGCTGGAGAGTCTGCCGCGTAGTGCGAAACACTCCCAAGTTTATCGATACTTCACCGTAGTTGAACTGTGGACTTGTCCTCAAATCTCAAACAAATTGTGTGGGAGCTGTAGATATTTACAACGCAAACGGTCTTGGGAAGCTTACTCCCCAAAGTGAAACGTTACAAAGTTACATGAATCAATTCCCCCGGAGACAACTCGTTTTCGGGTGTCAGGGGACACTACTTGTCTAGACTACACAGACTCTCCGGGCTGGACGCAACCAGGTTCCTTGTAAGGCTTTTTTCTCACTGATAAAATCAAAACCATGCGGGCTACGTGAATTTTGGGTGGTTTGTCCACAACAGTTTTGCATTACCATGTCTGGTTAGGTTCACACCAGAGGTATGAGAGCTGTGCTCCGTTTCTTGCTCTGATCTGTACCTGGGTTAGATAGTAAGCTACTGTTGAAATGAATGCCTTATGGAATGAATGTAGAACTCACGTATCGAGTGTGAAGCTGAAGGAATCGTTGTGATACGTTCCAGTTTCTCGATGAACTAGTTCACTGAGTCATGTGACTACTGACCCTCCGAAGCGTACCGAAATTCTACTTTTGTGTTCCAGAGTAAGCACTAATTTTGCCAGTCTTTTGGGATCGATTCGTGTCAGCTATGACGTCAGCTGGACTACTTCTGGGCGCGTTCTTAGCCACTAGTTTTTCGGTGGTATTTGGTCTGGCAAACATAGTTCTGTTGCAAGATTATTGGTTAATTACAAATTATCGCGTGCAGTGTAACCCGAGAATGAATTCACGTCTGCTACACACCGCATTACTTGCGACTTTGTTTTCGTACGGTCAGCGTAACCCAGACCTGGCGAGTGCGCCAATCAACACTCCGTCCCAGAGAACTGTAAGATTAATTTTTCGGTTGTTTTTTTACGAGACAAAGAAGTGAATGGTACTCAGGCACGGGCGTGATCCAGATCAATAATCCTTGTCGAAATAAAACACCATTGTCAACCAGTCAATGTCTGCCTGATTACTGATCGTTGATAACAGCTCACTTCCGAAGTCTCCTGCCCCGTTCCGTGATTTCATCGGGGAAAAAAGGCTCAGTGGCCATTCACCGCGACCGTGATAACACAGTAAGTGCTTGTGCTGGGAAGAGGTGCTCACACGAAGACAGACACCCACCTGATAGCGAGAGACAAATAGAACAGAATGAAAAAGGTTAACGCATCGAAAAAAGTCATGTTGTAGGTATAAGAGTTGTCTGTCACTATACACAAAAAACGCCGAATTATATTTCTAGGTTCTCATTTGATGTGGGAACAAACAACAGTAGGTGGATGTTTTTCCTCAAAGTGTAGTCAACCCAGAGGAAGAACAAACTTCACTTGGCCGATTGAAACTCCTACCTGAGAAGTCATCTTTCGAGCAACTAATCAACTAATCAACGTGGTTAGATCAGAGGCGCTGTATCTTGTTTAGGTGCAAGCTAATCACATTGTCGGTCAGGCGGTTAAGCGGTAAAACACTACCGCAAGGTCACCAATTCGAGACTCCCTGCAGTTTCTTGAGATGCGCACCGCTGATGATTCCCAATAAGGATGAAACCTCTGTTTCTTGGGTTCAATGGCAGAGCGAGATCTACGCCAAGAAAAATTCACACTACCAACAATCTATAAGTAGCTCACAGGAAGAATGAAATTCACCCGATGAGTGAAACTTCCATCTGCGTAGCCGTTGCCCGAGGAACAAGTCAACACGTGTGACCACGTGATAGGAATCCCGTGATTGAAGGATGAGCGGTTCTATGTCCAAGTGCGAGTTAGTCACACTGCTGATTCAGCCGCACACCTGCGAGAGCAATTCTCCGGCAGATGGTCGGGAGAACTCCGACCGGAAATTTGGATGCGCAGATGTGCACCATCCAGGATACACAATTACGTTGCTTTTCTAGGCTCATTTTGTGCAAATATTTTCTCAGTTCGGATGTAAAACCTTAAATGAACTTTCTGACGCTTCCAATTCTCGTTCATGGCAAGGAGACGGCAATGCGTCTTAGCAAAGCCATGGAGTGGTTCATCAGCAACGTTTATGCAACAATGGCCACCAGATGACACTTTCAACTGTCTCTGACATGTGGAGGTAATGCCCGACGGTGTCAGCAAGAAATCGGTCTTCAAAAGAGAACTTGGCTGTAGCGGTCAAGAATGGAGATCAGGACAGTAATTCTATTCATTTATTGCTGGTTGAAAAATTTGACTAAAATCAAATTCTGCTCAGAGGAATTATTTATTAGCCACATGACCGCTGTTGACTGGAAGAACTTTCTTCGCTTAGTTTGCGGCTGGCGGCTTTTGCAGACTCCAACAGTTATCGGCAGCACAGGTCTACATGCATACAGTGCCAGATCGAACTGTGGCCACTTTGATGGACAATCCAGGCATGCATTGCTTCCGGCTCAATCATCATCTCCGATATGTGGGCATCATACCAAGGAATTGAAACGATGGTTGACATGAATTATATTCATGAAACGGTTAAGTATACCGAAAAATTTGTGAATTCAATGACTGGAGGTCACACAAACCACCGAATCCCTTTGGCACGTCTACATGATTCAGAATATATGCCAATGCGGCACACACCTATGTTTAGTGGACAGCTACTTGTGTGAGTTCGTTTGGAGGCAAACGTATCGAAAAACGGACCTTTTCATGAAAATTATTAATGACATGTCCCAGTTTCACCCGATTCAATAAAAGCCAAAAGTACACATTTGATAGCCTCTTTGTTCTAATCGTTTTTTTGGTCGCGGGGGTTAATTTTTGGGCAGGGCTTATCTGAAAAAGGTTCCACCTGTCATTCAACGCAATGCTGCACGCTGTACCTCCCCTCTCTTGGTTGATCGTTCTACACCCTTTGGGTTGCGAACTTTTTTGCAATCTGAACACAACGTCTCATGACGGGTTCAGCCTAGAGACCATCTCCCGTTTAGTCAGGCCTTTACTTGACTTTGCTTTCAAGCTTGGACACCAGAAAACTGCTGAAATGTGTGACCCGCCCAATCAACTGTTTCGGGCTTATAACCCACCCATCACGCATTTGAGCCCTCTTATTGGTTTTCGGCCGGCAGATCGCAGGCTGAAGTTTTGGCCTTCAACTCATGATGGCTCTGCTAGCAATTAGCACTTATGAGGGCGCTTTTTTCCTAAAATCGTTTTTCTTAAACCGTCAGTTTCATTTCCAGTTTTCTAAATTTTCAATGAGGATATCATGCCCTAGGTGAAGTCAACCAATGCTGAAGTGCTCAGAGGCACTGTATGGGTATTTTATCCTGTCTCCAGCAGTTTCTATCATAGAGGAATGCGGGGTTTGCGAACCTGCGACCGGCCAGCTGGGAACCTGAACACGACCACGTGATCAGCAGTATGAATAGATCGCCACTGTGATCCTTCATTCGCGAAAACCACTTCAAGTGGTCACGTGATGATTGGTTTATCAAATGACAACTTTCAGAAGGGTGAACCTGTATCCAGTTTTCACATGGGTGGACAAATCCAGTCTCTAAATCCTGAAAATAAACGTGATTTAAATGGCGACTGCGATTTCTGAGACGGATACTCTTTCTTGCCCGGTATAAAACGTGACTTGTGACTGGAAATCCGAGTACCACTAACATTTCCCATTGAATTTTTGTTCGCGTTGAGTGTCACTCAAATCTGGGATATTGGCACATTTTTGAGTGCGGCAAGATGGTTTCCGACACTTATCAAATTGGCACCTCAGGTGTTTTTTCCGCCTAGTCATTTGAAATGTCCCGCGTCACGACAAGTTTTGTAATTCTAATTTTGTCAATCGAAACGGTGCGTAATCCGATTGTAAGGGAACACTCTGATTGGCAATTTGTGAATCGGTTTCAGTTTGGTTCGATCGATCGATTTCAACCTAACATCTCACGTCTGCCGAATTCAGAGATTTAGAAGGACTGCGCTCAAAATGAGCTACCCGTGTTTAAAATAAAACGGATTTCGATTGGTCTGCTTACCACCATTAGTCAACGATTTCCCACAACCGTCTCCTACTCTTCCGACGGTTGTTGTTCCTCTCCGGTCTCGTTGTTTTGTTCCTGGACGGTGTCGACAATGTGCTCTGACTCTGTTTGAGCTGTAATCGATGGCTTTGCCTCGTCTCCAAGAGGGTAAACACCGGCATCCTCACCTCCAGGTACCCCAAACTCTACGTCGTCGGAAGACGCTTCTCCGTCTGCGTTTGTGTGCGTGATCTGTTCATCTGATTGTTCAGTCTGATGAGGGCTGAACCCCTCCACTGTTTCCACTGATTCTGTTTGGTCTTCAAACCCTTCTTCGATTTCATCTTTGATGTTGTCACCGCCTGGAGAACCGTCCATGCCAGCTTCATCGCCGGACATCCTGTTAAGCGGAGTTTCCTTCTCTGTCATTATATCCGATTTCTCGTCTTGTGTGGTCACCTTGTTGATTGTCTCCTCCACCGTGTCCGTCAGCTCCGTTCCTTCTTCCACGCCTTCTTGGGGCTCTTCTCTTAGGTCTACGCTGCTTGATTGTTCCGCTGGTAACGCCTCTTCTTTGGACACTGGGACCTTGGTTTCGTCCGACAAGCCTGCCTCCTCTCTCACCGTATCGATGATTGCCGTCACTGTGTTAGGTTCGCGTTCCGTTTTACTTTCTTGCTTCACGTTAAGTTCTGTTTCCGATTTCACTGAATCCACTGTTTTCTCGTCTGTCACGCCCTGCTCCACAGAGTAGGGTGTATTCATTTGTTGGCCACAGTCCACAGGTGACATCCCTGGTGTTGACTTCTGCGCATCAGCTTGTGTCACCTTCGGGCTGCGTCCTCTAGGGCTGGGTGACCTTGGACTCACTCCCAACGGTCTATTCGGTTTTTGGCCCAGCAGTGACTTTTGCGGACTGTGGCCTGGACTTGCTGAGGTTGGCGACGTTTCGGTTAGGTTTTTGCGCGTAAGCAGAGAATTGAAAAAACTGCTGAGTACGGCCTCCTTATCGGAAATGTTGGATGGATGAGGTCCAGAACCCACAGCCTGACCGCTGCCTGGCACTGCCGTTTGTTCTGAGGTTTTCTGTGAAAATGAAATCGTTTGTTATGCTTTCTGGTCAGTGTTTGCAAGCTCAACAACAGAAACGGGTCAGTGGAATTCTCGGGAGAGGGTCCGATTGGTAGAAAAAGTACAGATAAAATGAAGTAATGTTGAAACCCTGAGAGAGCGGAAATCAATAGTGCATGAAACAACTGGGTGTGTCAGCGAAATACATTCATTTGCAAACCAATGGAATCCAGCCGAACCTCTTGTGTTTTAATGGTTTTTCAGCAACCGTATGAGTAGTACATGACGTCATTTGACATATTCTTCTCCAGTTCGAGGCGATTTCCTAGGATTTTAAAGAAAGTCAGTCCCGCAAATGATACATCCATCAGTGGTTCATTCAAACAGACACTAGTGTGAACGAGAGTCCTCAGGGAGCAGTTTTAGACACGTTCTGAACCCGTTTTATGTCCCTTGGGGGCCCGCACTGGGATTATTAATCGAAATACCTCACGGGTTAAGGCGCAAAATTTATGACCTCCGTGGTTCGAACCCAAACTTAGCACTCCGATCTGTTGACCTTCAGGTAACATGCCAAAACGTTGTTACAGCTGATCGATTAGATTACCAAAACCTGATCGCTCATAGAGCCTAAAGACTTGTGTTTCTGGAGAAAGGATATCGCACCCTCACTCCGAGGTGCATTCATGAGCTTAATATTTCAGGGATCGAAACAGTAGAAGGTACTGAGAGACAATGCGGGTTTGTGACGCCACTTTTTCGAATGTACGTCCTTGGTTTTGCAATTTTTCCCTTGTGGGATGCCATGTTACTCATGGTGACTGTCACGTCACTTCATCAGTTCGAGTAACCAATCATGATCATCCTCAGAGGGTCAAAATTTGACCGGCAAAGAATCAATTTGAATTATGCCACAAGCGTCGTTTTCAATGATCCGCAGATCTCTGAAATTTCCAGCTCATTGAGGGAGGTCAAACATGTGATTGTCCAAGAGTTGACAACTCACGATTGACGACCCCCATCGTAGGTCACGTGTCAAGCTTTAGTTGGGATGTCACAATGTCTTTTTGCTAAATCGTGACTGACATTACAGCACGGATTAAGCCATGTTTGTAAGCTAGTTTTGTTGTATGGATGGGGTCCTAGATGAAATTCGTTTGATTGTTAATCCGTCTGTGGTATTACGGATTAGGCAAACGTAACAGGTCATTGCCTCATCGAGGAACTCTAATATAGCTTCTCTTAATCAGTTCTCAGTCTAGTGATTTTCAATCCGGGAACCTTAAACTCGGCTTCATACGCATACAGTAAAGTACCATCGGTTTATGAACAGTTCATTCAGAAGGAAAAATTTGATCTAGTTTATTTGGTGGCGATGATAGTTCGTGTGATCGAATTGTTTACTTTCCACGTCAGAGCTCTAGACAGCCCAGCGATTAAGGCGCGAACTTACTGACCGTAGGGTTCGAACCCAAACTGCAGAACAAACTCAGATCTCCTTTATTCTTCGGGTGATTGGACAGGCGCGCAGGGGTGCAGTAATTACGACTCTCTCTGCTTAATCATGCATTTTTTAATGCTGAACTTGTTCAGAGATAAACGCCTCTGGTTTGGAAATGTTCTTCAAACGAAGATACGGTTACAGGCAGATATCGATCCACCAAAATTGTACCACTGCTTTGGATCGATGCGCCGGCCATGGCCAAAAAAAGTTTCATCCATCTGCAACGTCGTCCACATCTAGAACCATGAATCCTTCTATTCATAATCGTCGTTTTCATTTTACGATGGGACTTCATAAGAATACTTTTGTGGCAGAGTTTTCCACAGTCGATCGTGGACACTGAACCGCCAAATAAATTTTAGTTTTGCCCAACAATCTACGGCAAACACAACCACACATTGTCGTGAAGGACACTACTCACAAGGTTGCTGAAAACTCTTCGACAACTCACGACCAGTTTCGCCCTTCTTGGAGCCCATCAGGTAGGCGCAGTCCCCGAGTTTCTGTCGACCTTATGTTCTACTTGAACCCAAATTCGACTGTTTTCTAGAAATACACTCATTTGCAGATTAGTTTGGTTTTTCACGAGGGACTGAACTCACGAGACTCAACCACACATTGTCATTGTTCCTCTTGATACTTTGTTCTTCTCACAGTGATGAGCGAGAATACATCTTTGAGGGCGTGGAATATGTTCCTACTTTCATGATGGTATGATATGTGTCACAAAGATCTTCAGTTGTGGCCCGCAGAAGAATGGTATGAACCGTTTCATTTGGATGAATCCAGGCTGTGGACGGTCTTCCGGACGCCTAACAGAGACACCCTTCAAAAAAACCGCTCCATCATTGGATTGGTTGGCGACCGACAAGAGGCCAAGCCAATTTCACGATTTATGTCCCACTACTTTAACAGTTTTCAGTAACCGAGTACTGAGAACGAAATTTTGCATGGTAATTCATCCCAACTGATCTTCGCCGGGGGGCCAAATGTTTGGTTGAATTCCACCGGTTATTTCTAATCTGCATTGCTGATGCTGCCCAATGCAATCTAAGTGCACGTTAATCACACCGATCTTGGAGCTACTGCGAACGAGGTCGCGGGTTTGAGACTCCTTAATGGAGTTTCTCGAAATACGCACTGTTCATGATCCCCTATAAGGGCGAGATACCTTTGTAATGCCTCTATACTTTGCGTCATAGATCGACTTCACTTACAGAACAAAACCTCTATCAAAATCCGCACAGTTTGCCTGAACCATTGGCATTTTGTACAATAAATTTTGTGTAATACGACAAATCGTGGAATACGCCGAGGAGCTTGAATTCAACGGTGGTTGGTGTGTTTTTTATTCAGCCCACGCGCTGACATCACTTGGGATAAGATAACAATCACGATACGTGTTTGTCTGATTCAGACTTAGCACCAACGAAATTGATCAGAAACAGACAATCCGACCAGTTCAAATCAATACCGATGGTCTGGACGAATAAGCTAGTAGGAATTTATCGGGTCACGTGATTGCTTGTGCACTCGACATTTGTACCAATTGATTCTTGTATGCAAAGTCTATGCATACATCATAAGTTGGTCTAAAGAACATCTCTAACATCGGTTTTGACCATTGTGTCCAAGGGGTGATCCAAAACGGAACTACTCAGGTTGCTTCACCGCCTTTATTCAGATTTTACGCTGTATACGCATCTATGAGTCAGAAGAGTAGATATCAAAAGGTTTGCCTTGCTTCAGATGGCGCTGTCCTTTTTTTATGATGGAGCTATCTCAAAACGACAAACGTTTTTGTCATCTCCATCGATCGATGAAACTCCCTGGTTTTGTGACTCATCATTTAGCCAACTGAGCGAGATTTAAAGACGATCGATTCGTGACGCCTGAGGAGTTTCCCTCACTCATAGCTGCAACAATGATCGCTTAATCTAATCAAAATTATCAGGAAGGTCAGCTTCCTGAAAGCAACCACCGAATGCCCGAAATCTACCGAGACTCTCAGCTCCGCTAGGCATTGACCAGACAGACAACGCCCCCTCAATATGCAGCCCCCCACAGTATCAAACCAGACAGGGCGAGTTAGTGTTGATCAAGGTCAGACTACGCCCCCGGAAGGTGCAACAAGTCGTAGCCTCGTACCAAGGCCACACCACGTGCACCAGCATTGGACCAAGTTCAGACAGTGCCCGTCCCATGAATAGTTTGTGAAAGTTGTGCATTCACACTCGCACGCACTAACGCTCTCGCACTTGATTGTTCAGCGTTTAGCTGTTGTGTTCCCTTCTGTGAGTCTTTTTCTCCGGCAGCAGATATCACAGATTGGCGAATCAGAAGATATCAAAGCTACAATGGACTTTCTTGATCTCGTAAAGCAAATTTAACCAGTCTTTCGAGGAATATTGCCGGTAAATCATACCTGAACGTGGCCCAGTAAAAACTGAAACTCAAGGCCAGTATTCTGGTTAGCGAAGACCTTACTGTGGTTCAACGGTTTGTGTAACTCAGCGACCAATTAGGCCATACGGGGGATGCCCGTGCTACACTGTCATACTAACTAGGTCAATGGTTAGAGCTCTGAAGTACACAGTCTTCTGGATGTCCAGGTTGGGGATCGGAACATGTGTAGCGATTGGTTCCGTAAAAACGGAAACGTACTTGTATTTCTCGCCAAAGACCGATAAATTGCCGTCAGGCTTTTGAAAAAAAGGCCTTGGTTGAGGATTCTAGTCGTCCTCCTGTCCAGGTGTGGGCGCCCCGGCAGCATCCCAGCCCACGTACAGGTACGGTAGCGCCCAGGTACGTAGCTAAACATCGGTGTTGAACACTGTCGTCATGCTGTCGATGGTGATGATGCTTCTGGCTAGGCCAGCTTCATCCAGCTTCGAGCGCTAATTTTTCATTTTGTTGGCTTGTGGATACATGAGATAACTGGGATAGTAACTGGGATGTAACAGTGTGCTAACATCGGTCTGTCAGGAAATTTTACTCACTGTTTTATCGTAGATAACATTTCTTGGATGGTGATACGTTTGCAAACAATCAACAAAAAAACCATAGAAAAGTAGAACAATGATTGACAGGTAACACCGATGGTAAGACTACGCAAAAATTCAAAGAAATCCTTCTCCGTCCCTTCGTACCGCGTTTGCCAGAGTCGCATTTTAAAACGGACTATTTGGCGCGAAAGTGGGATAAAATATGGTGAAACGAAAAGGATTCTTTGAAAACTTGAGTACATTCAACTGTTAAAAAAGACAAAAAGTGGTACGACCTTTCATCCCGTTTAGCTCTATGCATCGATTGGATGGAGCGGGGTGTCTGGATAGATGACTAAGCGACTCTGTTTTGCAAAAAATCCTCGTTTAACTAGAATGACACAACAACTCACCAATTGTGACCCATCAGTAGGTATAGTGGCACCCACGCCTGGGGTATTCAGGTTAGCTAACTGAACCTGTATGCGGGCGAGAAAAGTTTGTTCATCTTCCACAGTCTGCAGTGGAACGGGTTCTTCAACTATTGGAGTTCCACCTGGTCCAAGTTTCTTACCTGAAAGTGGAGAACGCTCTGGAGAATACCCAATAGAAGAGTGACCATTTCCTAGACACCTAATTACACATATATAGACAATTTTCTTTCAATTTGGTGAACTTTGACCCAGTATCCCTCACTGTAAGGACACAGAGCTTCTTCCGGCTACCTATCCCTACCCCATTCTTTTCACTCATTGCGAAGGTTTCCTTCGTTTATAATGGCACTGCACTTAAGTTCCCGCGTGCTATACTGATGTATTACTCCCCCTAATGATACTGAGGAGAAGAGATCACATCTCGACAAATACAGTCATATGCAAATCAATTTGGTTTTCACGGGAGAATCAAGTGTATCTATCGTTTGTGGGTTGACAGAAACTCGAAGGACTGCACCTACCTGATGAGCTCCAAGAAGGGCGAAATCGCTCATTGGCTGCTGAGGAGATCCCAGAAACCTTGTAAGTAGCTTCCTTTATGAATGGATAACATCGTTCTAAAGCTTCAGGAATGGCTTTCTAATTCTCTGGCATAGAGAAAGATTTCAAAAAAGCCCAACCTTTTCTTTTCTTTTCTCTCCGCCAGATGAAGCTTGGTAGCTACCTGCTTGCAACTGATGTCATCAGAATTACTGGACTTCAGTATGGCGCCGAACGAAAGAGGGATGGTTCATGCGAACAGTAACACTAGAACACATTTTAATGCAAAATATTAACTACTTAAGATTTCTTAGTAGTCAAAAATAATAGTATCAGGCTAATGCCGAGGTGGCTTCCATCGCTACTCACGAAAACGAGCTTCAGGTTGGACGGTCATACAACTTGTCAGAATATGACACAGTGATTCTAGGACACATTTAAGAGATTATAAAAAAATATTTTCTATAGTGGTGTCGTTGAAGACCTCGATCTGCATTACTTACTCCATGCTTCACAATTCCGAACCGAAAGAGAGTCACGCCCCGAAAAGACAAAATTCCTAATTTCTCTTCCGTTTGGTGAAGTAGTAGATAGGTGAGACGGGATCCTGGCTATCAGTCGCTTTGTTCCATTTTGGATGAAAAAGCTTAACTGAAGTTAAAATTCGTGTTCAAATGAGAAAATTTGTTTAAACGGTCTAGAATATACCTTAAACCCGGGTTTTATTGAGTAGTTCGAACCTTGTTTTCGTGGAAAATTTGCAGGTTTAAATCAAAATTTTTGTTCCCCTTAGTGAAGCCCAGCTATGGCAAAAAGCCGAAAAGCACTGTGCAGCTTCTTAATCCTAGCTGAGAGTCATCAGAATTTGGCAGCACACGAAACTGTTGACAGATTCGAACTAACAACCTGCCGGCTAGATCAATTCACTTCAAGTTGACAGCTATAAACCGTGTACCATAGGCACACTGGTTCCAGCTGCTACAGTTTTGATCAACGGAAAACGAGAGTATGGGGCATACAACCAAACCATGTTCATTTTGTTCGGAAATCGAGTAGCTATGCACTGATGGCCAGCCAGGAGTTGAATACCAGACCGTTCGGCCATGAGCGGCTAATGAGTAGTTTGAATAAATAGCACTTAGATCTCAAAAATGCCCCCCTCATCCTTTAACCTCAGCATCCATATCACTTGGTCACTTGCTGGCTAGCTCTTCATCTAAAAACGCTAACATATCGTGCAAACTGTCTCCGCATCTGAGCTTTTCATAGTCTGGGCGATAGTGTGAAGAAATTTGGTAATTTTGACGGGAAATTCTACGCAGTTTAACTTTGCTTGCAGGACGAAAACTCCACAAAAATTCAGTTGACTGAAAACATCACAAAAGAGGGATTCAGTGCCTTCCAGGTGAGACTCGTTTTTTCTCCTTTGGAGAAACGCGGACTGCAATTGATAAACTACTCTGCTATGAAATTGTCGAACGAACAGGTGTGCAGATTGATCTGGAACGCAAGCTTTGCTGTTTTGATTGACACATAATGAAGAGTGTTCACTAAATGGAAAGCCTTTTCAGCAAGTTGAGGTTGTCTGTATTCAACGAACCGCCAGGCACACTAGCACAACTGGTCTGAGTTCCAGTGGTAAGCTGTTTGCTCACGGCCAGCTATGTGTTCACACTGTATGATGACCGTTCATTGACCATCATTCTCCTGGCTAGATACTTCTACTCTTTAATTACGTCAGACTGCAGACTGATAAGATTTGGGACCTCAGTAACTCAGTTGGTTTAGCAAACAGTTATTACGGAGCAGCGATTGATGCTGCCAGGTCTAGCGGTGACGCAAGAGATTTTGCGTGTGTCCTTGGTCAAGCTTACCCGCGGCAGTCTTGGAACGGAAAGAAATCGACCCTACAACCGGATTGCTAGTAAACTTGAAAAATCAATATTTATTACCGCAAAAGACGCCATCCGTACCTTTTGAAAATGCCTTTCCGCGAATAGTTTTCGGTCGTGGCAGACTTGTGACAAATTTCTCCTTGAGGCATTTTTCTGGTAGGTTCCTCGTGAGAAGTTCAATGCGATGTGCATTGTCCCATCCACATGGTCTGCGGCGTAGAATGCAATAATGAGATGCAGTAGTTTACGGATCGATAAATGCCCAATAGCAATGGAGCGGCACTTGCGGTAATCAGTTGCTTAAAAATTCGGAAATGGGACTAATGGAAGAACCAGCTGCACAACTGCCAAAGGAATAACATTCTTCGTTAAGACATTTGATTGGTTGTTCCTCACTTGCCCTTGACAGGTGACTTCTACTTTTAGTATGACTTTTTGATTCGCCTTTCCATAAGAGCCTTATAAACAGCCCGTTTTCTGCTGCACGTGACACGCCTGTACGCGTCAGTGTTCAATAGATCAGCTGATTCGCACGCTCATTGGCTGGCCGGTTTGGCCGATGGAATCAGGCTGTCAAGCGGCTATCCAGACTCGGGTTCACGATAATAAAGACACTGAGAAAACTGTGGTGCAAAACAGAAACCTATACCACCGGAAGTCAGTTGGTTGAAAACGTGGCCAGGTGAGCAGTAAGCAAGCATGCAGTCCGTACATAAAGTACACATTGGGTAGGTACGGAAGATGACTGTTCGATGAGCTGGGCTGTCAGTTACAAACTTTTCGTCGACAACTGGGGTGGTGTAATCACTGCGTAGTACGTTGGTAGGATATCGTAGAGCGTCGGTAGGTAGGCTAGTGGGCTTATTTGTACTTTTCTGACGCCTACGGGGAGGGGGTCAGGTGACAAGAATGGTAACTATGGGATCAACACGTCAAAGGTCAAATGGAATGAGTCGGAGGGGTTAAAGTCGAAGTTCATCCGGACTCCGATCAGCCAGGGGGCTAACAAAGCGTCCAACATGAGGAACTGATCATCTGAACGGCCAGTCAGAGGACATCCCCTCTTCAGCAAAACATATACAGGAACCAGCTTAGCAATGATTAACGCGTACACATCGACGTCCCATCGACCTAGGCTGGTGATGTAACGTTTGCGACCGAACGGTCCAAATCGACTGCGTTTTGTCTAGAGGCTACATCACTCTGATCTTAGCTAAATTGAATGGCGCCTTGTTCCAGACCAGTAATGGGTTACAACCTCTGGTAACCTTGCTCCATATCTGACCTGACTCGGCTGCTTTTGATGTTTGTATCGCACATGGGCTTGATGGTGTGTGTCAAAAGGAACCTTACGAATACGTTTACAGTCGGAGATTGAATATACCATAGAACCAACTCACCGAGACGAATCTGGATGGTAAGCCAGACAGACAAGTTTTCAATATGGGTTTAAACCTGCTTGTTGCGTCCACACTTTTGTCCTATTTCTAACCGTCAAAGAATTTGATTGCTGCAATTTTCAACCGTTTGCGCCAGCGCTCCCCAGCAGCACACTCAAGTGTGCCAGCTTGGCCAGTTTTGGCCCCCTTTTTGAAGCTCTTATTTCATCCTTCTAACAGATGTAATTTCGCGGAAAGTTTCAGAGTAAATGACCAAGTATGGTTTCCTGAATGCCTCAACGAGGAAGTTTCACCTCAATATGACACCGTATCTGTTCCAAAGATTGTGTTGTATCAGTCAGATGGAACCAAAGAGGACCTCCTAGTGGGTTTTTCCTCCAAGGCTTCTGAAACAAATTAGTCACACCTATCTGTGTCTGGTTGCCTCAGTCTGATCAGCGGGTCAAGTTTCAAACTCTTGATGGCGCGCATTCTCCTGGAGATAAACAGCTGAATTTCAGGAGCATGCATCCGGCGCATTCGACCTTCCATTTACCATGCCAGACGACTGATCAAAAGCAGGGAGTCATCTCTGAACAGATTGGTTCAATACACTCCCATGAATACTTTGAGTAACTGAGTAATACCAACCCAACTACGTGAAGTTCTTTCCGTTCAGTGTGGCGACATTAGTTAAGGACGTACTTCAATCCGTCGGAGATATGACTGCTTCGCCGAGTAAATTACTGCTGTGAACGCGAAAATAAGCAGAGAAACGTTCATTTGTAGCACCCATTTGGTGATGAACTGCCGTGCATCAAGGCGAAAGCGCGAGGGCGCAAATGATGCCAGGTTTTCCTGGTCTAGAAAGCAGCAATCGAGATGACATGGTTGGGTTCGAACCACGTACCAACCGGTCAATAATTGAACGCCATCTTGAGGTATGGACCTGACACTTAAGTCTGCATTTCTATGGACATTTGACGCCACCTATAAGTAAATGAATGACGTGACCCACGTGGGGGGGAGGCAGATGGATCAGTGTTTAGAGCCCGAATATACTGATCCGAAGGTCCGTGGTTCGAGTCCGACCTCCGCCTCTTGACTTTCTCTGTGTAGGTTTGAACAACCTTTTACTTCCTTCTGGTGGCATGGCAGTTATGCACCGAATGGGTGTTACAGCTGAAGAACGATCTTGATGCAATGAAGGCTCTACCATTGCAGTGCCATTACGACAATGTCCGCCCAATGAACAAAATCTTGACTGATAGACTCCAAAAGTCGACCCGTACTACCAACATTATATAAGTAACTCAAAGAAGAACAAACCTTACGAAACGGGTAAAACTTCTCTCTGAGAATTCATCACCCAACCAGCCAATCAATATTTATGTGAGTCCCTTGACTGAAAGTTGGGTAGGGCCATTTCTTGCCCAGTGAAAGCTAATTAACCAACTGGCGCCTTGTGGCCTCAACTGTTAGCCGGGTGTGGGCGAGTTCGCGAGGAGTTTCGTGAATTGCACTCAGACTCAGGGCCGCATCACATTCAGTGAATTTCGCTCACTGCAGGCCAGTATTCAAAATACTTATGTACAGGACTTGCACTTGTCATTTGCGTGGACTATGCAAACTAAAATCAGGGTTCCCAGTCACAGAAGAAGCAACCAACTCCGTACCATCTAACCCTACCTCATCCCTAGTGGTGTTTCTTTCATTCTTTCTTCATTCACCAGCACGGTAGTGACACACAGTTACAACTCGACTCGTCAGAATGAAAGCTCAAAGTGTAATCCACAGGCTCCTTGCAAGCGATCGCGCGAGTGTTCATCTGTTTAATGACTTGGGAATGTGTGCTTGCCAGGTGGTGAGTTGACAAGAAGGATTCGTTGGGTGTTCTAGTTTGCAATTGACCAGGTTACCGTTGAAGTCAGCCGATCTGTTCTACCTGATTAGGGTGTCGAGCAAGCTGGATCGAACACTCCGTTTTCGGAGGGTAACTAAAACTACGGATGCACGAATTCCAACCCCGTGTGGCTGCATTTCGAAGTGATTCACCTCTCACTCTAGTACAGAACCACTGCATCAGCAATCAAGCCGGGTTCTGATAAAAATCAATCCAGGATTCCCTGGGGTGTCTCTGCTCACAGATCGGGCAAAGGCCCATGAGTGTTTCCGCTTCACTTACCGGCCATTGTCCTCGGCTTTCAAGTGGGGTGGGGAACAGGTAGAAATGTTAGATCTGCTATCAATAAGGTCAGATTCCTGACACCCAGATTCCAGAACCTTCTGAGACCCTAAAACTCCACCAAAATCTCAACGGGGAAGTTGGCAAGCATCCAGGCTAGTCAATCATCCAGTCAATTTGAAAAAAGCTGAGTAGTATTCAGGCGCGTCATAGAAGCACGACGGAATATGATGAGCGTTCGGTCATTTCCTAGAACCACAATCGATGTTGATGGGTGTTCACTAAACGCCTATCAGATAGCTGGGATCAATGTCAGAAAGTGCACTTTAAATAGCACAGGGCCGTTGTCAATTTTGCACTCGCAGCAACCTCGCCATTCTAAGGAAGCACGATGGCTGGGATACTGCCAGGTTGCCCAAGCCTAGACAGGAAAAGTCGGGAGGCAGAGGGCGGGTTCGAACCACGGACCTTCCGGTCAGTAAATTCACGCCCAAATTACTTGGGCCATGTCGCCCCCAGATTTAACAAATTAATCATCATTACTTACATGAATAGGGCTGTCGGTTCAGTCATCAGTGCCGAAGTGTGAAACGGTGTAGCGTAGAGCCGGTGCTTCAGGTACCGTCGCAATAGTTCCGTATTGATTTCTTCCTTTGCCGACACGTACACTAAACCGGCGCGATCTGACGACGTCCGAAGACGAGTCCCAATTTAAGTGTGATGTGTTAAGAATTTAGGGAAATATCAAATATTTATATATGTACGTATGTATGTATGTATGTATGTATGTATGTAAGTATGTATGTATGTATGTATGTATGTATGTATGTACGTATGAATGTATGTATGTATGTATTATTCGGGTGAACGGGCTTATCGACGAGATGTTAGGTCTTTTGTGCGTTTGTAGAAACTTTGTTTGGATAACTGAGGAAAAAGGATACATTGAAGGCAAGCCTTTCGCAAATGGTATTGGATCACGTCAAAATGTTCATCAGTGAAACCGTTCTCCCGCTCCAACGTGACGCCAGCGTCCGCCTGATAATAGGAGTGAAAGGGTGACCTTCATCCGAATTTGTTCGATTCGAAGTAAATTACCTGACAACATTTTAGTTCCGGTGTAATCCACAAAGAGGTAAAGGATGCCATCGATCGCCATAATGTTTCGATACGGCGATTTGTACGACGTAACTTGAATCAGATTGCATTATGATAGACATATGAGGGGAATTCGCGGTTTTTAAACCGAATCAGCTTGGCTTATTTCGGACAGGTGTACATCAGTACAGGTTAACTTAAGTCCACATTGCAACTCGATCGACAGAGGTTCCAAGAAACTCCATTTTTGCGCTGTGAATTCAATTCATTCAATCAGTATATTTCACCTTGCAGACGGAACCCTTTTATCTTGAACGTCTTCCTTCAGACGTGCGGAGCAATTTCACATAATGTACAGCTGACGGGCATCTCCATACTTTGAAGTGGCTTGTGTTCAGAACAGTAGAAGTGACTATGGGTGATGAAGCGTTTAACGGTAAGGGCGAGTTACCATTCAGTCAGTGCATAACTAAACTACTGCCTCATAATCTAACAAGATTTTTCGAAACTGCGATCTCTGCACATATTCACTATCCTAAAGATGCTTCTGCCGAGCAAATTAATATCATACTACTTAAACGGTATAAGTAGTATAAAATTACTTCGGTATCTCGAAAAATTTGAAGTAAGCTTACGAGTGTAAATTTAAATTTCCGCAACCTACCTTCGTCACAACGACCAGTACTGGGATTCCAAATGGATTGCCTGGGATGATATTGTTCTCAGCTTGGCTATCGTCATCTTTCTGCATAATCGGATGCAATGGTGAGTACGGCCACTCTGAAGTGGCAGAAACCGCACCACCTATGATCGGAATGGACACACTTGCAACACGATTGAGTGAATGTGTGCCGGTCACCGACGCAACGTTTTCTTGGCCGATTGGAGGGGACTGATCTTCAGAGGCGCCAGGATCGATGTAGTTATTGAAATAATCTTCAACTGTTGAAAGAAAATTGGAGAGTTGTAGGAAAGGACGCCTACATGCTACATTGAAAACAATCAATCTGTCGGTGAACCGGATTCAAACGCTAGGAGTATAGTAACTATCTGTCTCTCTCATCTTTATTGATTTCTCAGTGTGAGATCAATAGGAATGGTCAAACTAGCGCAACACTCACGTGACCATTATTGATTCTGTGGAGACCATCTGAGTTGTGATCACTCGCATGCATTGTGCAAGCTATCACTGCGATTGGGACTATAGTGGCTAACGTAACTGCTCACAGAACAAGGCCATAAATCGAAGGTACCGGATTTTTCAAGAGAGAATGGTTATCAAGCGTGCATGCCCCGAATTTCTCCTGAGATCCTATGACACCCTTTTCCTTTGTAGATTGCTCATAAACTCAGAGATGTAGGAAGCCCGGTTGTTCATTCAATTTGTGCTGTTCACAGCCATTTAAAATCGATGGTATCCCGGGAACCAGCGTTGGATCTCTGTTATGACCTTGCTTTGCCGTCCATTATTTATGGACACTGAAGAGAGGGGATGTGAGGTGTCTTCAGATTTCTTAACACCGATGCCTCAGAAGCATTGATATCGAATGATATCAACGAATTTGTAATGAGGTAATTAGAAAACCGGTTTTTGAGTGTGCGGAAGACACTTTAATCACGGAGGACATAGGAAAACCTCAGCCATGTGCTAAGCAGACCAAAGCACTGTGTAACGAGACGAGTGTCGTTCTCCTTCAGAATAGCGCAAACCGTGAGTTGGAAAACGCATGATCCCGTTGAAGGGATTGAAGCAGATTACGAGGAGTCTGTGTGTTGCTGGTGCAGTACACCCTCTAGGATGGAATTCCCGTGACCCTTCTGGGCTTCGCTGGAGCCGTCGCAGCAAATGGTCGATGATGGATGTCTGTGGAGTTACTTTCCAGATTGTCTGACTGGGCGTTTGCAGGTGTGGGTATCTCAGACTGCCTGTGACAGATCGTAACCAGGTCTGCTCCCTTCTTTTCTTTTCATTCTAAGACGCATCCTAGCGTCCGATTGAGCACTTCTGACGAAAAAGGTTATCCATACTATGACGTGGGTGATTCTGAGAAATTGTAACTTGGCGTTCCAATTCACCATAGAAAACGCGCCTCAGTACACCGATGTACCATCAATTTGTACAACGAATGGAACGACCGGTAGACGGTATACCCTTTCTTCCAGCTTAGTTAACGTGAATTATGAACGAAAGCCATGTTCAGTATCTGGACAAGATAAGGACACATCGCATGTTTGATGTGACATTGATGCTCGTTAAGGGAGAAGACTGCAACGTGTCCAACACTGTCTCTGAAATGGGTAAGTTAAGACTCCCTACCTTCATCAAGCCAATATTTAGTGTCATTGAGTGAAAGCACATTGCTGAAAGCACATACGAACAGTGCAGTAGCACACCTGATCGCCCAGATTGCTGAATCAATACACACGCATTCTTCTATTGATTTATCGTGTGACACTATATCGTCTCAAGGTCATTGGGCAAAACCCTTCCGAACATGAAAGGCGATCGATATCCAACTGCAGTGACCAACCCTGTCACCCGCACATTCAGTTCTTGACCGTTCGGCATAGATTTACCGCCAAGGTAAAGTCTACATTAAAAATATCTAAACATCTACTCTGCTCTATTTGACTATTTTGAACGTCTGTTCCATTTATGCCTGCACGTTTCATAACTTATCACGGATGAGTATCGTTCACACCTGAACGAAAGCAAATATTCCAAGAGACGGACATGTTTACCAAACGAGAACATTGGAATGCCCGATAAAGAATTGCTTAGGCAGGAAGTGGAAGGCTCGTTTACCCCTTCTCATTACTTGTTCATATGATTCTGTCACTTAAAGTAACATTTCTCAGGACCTCCAAGCTACTTATTTGGAATCCAGCTGGATCCAACCACCCGCCCCCCCCCCCACAACAAAAAAAGAATAGACGCGCAACAC